GAGAATTCTCATATATTTAATAAATAACTAAAAATAAAAACTGCAAATGGTGCATAACTTTTTTGTAGGTTTATGTTAATTTGTATTATAATTTTGATATTAACTGAATTATTTGCTGCTGTTTTGTATTGCAATATCATTTCGAGGTAATGAAATTTGTATACATTGAAAATGTGATTCTGTAAAAGCGGTAAAACTAATATTTATTTTACAAAGTTTTGGTACCTACTAGACGAATCTCGTAATGTGAACCACAGAGCTACTGAAATATATAGTTTGAGTTTCTGAACAAAGAAAAGTACCATACTATTATTATATTACATTTTACGCGAATTCTACCCGTATCCAGTTAATATATTCTATCAACGAAAGTAAATATTTGGTAATCGATTGATTCTCTAAATTATTATTACGAATACATCATATTGGTTAGTAGATAGAGATCCATCAAAGAATTTATCGACATACTTCAGTTAACCATGAGCAAATGTTTGTTTTATTTATTTTTAGATCACTATGTATAGAAAATCCTAAATGTAAGCAGGTAAGATATAAATAGGAATCTAATTCAGCATTCTGGCTGAAATATGAATGGTAGGTATCTATAGTAGTTATTTAAATACAGAATACACAAACAAATATTTTTATACTGCATAATTATTTTAAAAGTAAACATTTATACAGGATGTCCCATATCATTAAGAAAATTCCGATTCTTAAGACATGAAAATGTTTTGTTGACAACTCATGATAAAGACATATTCTTTGAAATGAATATACATTGTGTAAAGGTAAATTTGTTTTGGGGGTATTAATATTTAACTTTTATTATTTATTATTCTTTTTTTATGATTTTTATTTTATTCCTTTTGTACTTTATTAAAATGGGTTGTTTCAATAATTAAAGATACAAATGCAATTCAATTACATTTCTATCTTTATATAAAAATTCTTATTATTTGCATAAGACTTTGTAAAAGTTTTACTTATTTTAATTTCATTTATTTTTTATCTTGGGTATATATCTTTTCATGTTGGGTTCAAAATTATTGAGACCACTGCGTATCATAAAATACACTTTAGTTATGATATGAAACTAAAAAATTGGATTAGCCACCGAATAAAAAATATACCATATAGGTATAAATTTAAACTCTAAAACACATTAACATTGTTTTTTTTTTATATTAAGTGAGTCATAAAAAAATGCTTTTCAAGTAGGCCTTGGAAAAAATCACTTATGTCAAACGAATTCTTCTTCTTATTGTAGGTTGAATATATTTATTGCATATCTGGATTCCCTTACGTCGCTGACAGTATGATTTTCCGAAGACTCTGTTAGTTTCTCCTTTGGCCTGTTACATCCCAAAAACATTCAAAGTGTTTTAAAAATTATTTATATATTTAAACATGGCTGCGGTCTATTCGATCAGTGCAAAGTCATGGTAGGGGAAACAAAAGCGATATTAGCACAACCTGCCTTTTTACTAAAAAAAATAGGTTGCTATGTTACAAATTATACTAGCAAAAAAAACTGTCAATTATATAAATTTTCAGTAGCAAAATTGAAATTAAATCAAAGAAATAAATAGACAGCTGTATAATAAGAAAAAAAAAACCTTTATTTTTGTAATAATAACAGTAATACTGAAAATAATAGACATCAGAAAAGGTTTTAAATGAACAATAAATTATTATTTTATGATATTCTTCAACATCCCTTAAATCTTAAATGTTTAGCAAATGATTAGATTTCTGCCTTTGAATATTGTATATGGCTGAAATGCAATCTTGTGATTTATTAATAGGAAACCAAATTTAATCATTAATTTCTATGGGTTCTTTAGAACTAAAAATGAAAATATAAATTACAATCACAAATATACCAATTATATTTATTAATACGTTTTAATTCTACGTTATTTTATAATGGTATTTATTTTGAGATTATTTATTCTTCAATGACAACTTATTAGGCTTAGGCAAGATGTCATACATTTTCTCGTAAATACCTGCCTATGTTTTATTATTGATTTTTATTGATTATACTACTTTTTTTTAGCTGAAGAAATAAAAATGATAATAATAATTTTTCACTTGTTTTACAAATCCATATACTTTTATTAAATTAACATATATATTTTTTAATGATTAAAAATTGTATTGTCAGTATACACAAATATCGTCCGTTAGTTCATAAAATAGTTGACGCTGCTGTCACGCACGGAGCGAATAATGTACGAATATAGGTTGACTAAAAAATAAATAAGGATTTCTGTTATCGATGTTTTTAGTAGAGAAAAAAGAAATTTAAAATTGCGTTTTCCTAGTGTTTTTTTTTGTTCTTCGTCGTATTTAAGTGAGTTTTTTAATGTTTCTTGTTCATATTTTTCTTTTATATCACACTATCTGTTTGTTTTTTAAAAATGTGTTTTAAGTTTCTTGTTTTTTCTTTATTTTAGTTTTTGTCTTTTTTGTTATGACAACTTAAGTATCAGTTCTGTCAAATAGGTCAGTAACATTGTTAGGGTTACTACTAAAGTTCCACTCACCCTTATCTTCGCTATTCAGTGAGATATCGGAATAATGTTCTGGTTGAAAGACTAGAACAAATCGATTTTTTTTAATTTTAGAAGGAAACCTTTTTTTTATTGTAAATTTAAATTTTTGGGACATTTTTGTATAATAATCATGTATTGATAATTTTCTGTCAGCTGTCAAAATGGCCGCCATATTGGATAATATTTTTTCTAAATACGTCTATTAATTCGTTTATGGAAAAACATATAGGAATGTAAGAACTTTATAAAATCTTTTTAGGCTTCAAAATTCCCATTAAGACCCATTTACCATATATCAGTGGCGTATCTAAGCATTTTTATTATTAGCAAACCGTTTAATAATTTCATCCGCTTCTATCTTCGTTGTTAATTGAGATATTGTAATGAAAACTTATTTGTTTAAAAGCTTGAGACAAATACTCTCATATGCTGGATTCAATTGGTGTGTGATTTCATGGCTTACATCTGTTTTATCGGAAATAATAGAAAATCTCAATTTATTTTTAATTTTAAAATAGAAACCTCTGTTTTATTGAAAATTTGAATTTTAGGGACATTTATGGATAAGAATCAGGTGTTGAAAATTTTCTGTCAGCTGTCAAAATGACCATCATATTGGAAAATATTTTTTTTTAATTTGTTACTGACAGAAAATTTTCAATACACGCTTCTTATATAAAAATGTCCCAGAAATTCAAATTTTCAATAAAAATAAAAAATAAATTGTGATTTTCTGTTATATCTGGAAAAGCCGGTAGTAAGCTACGACTAACAGAATAATTAAGTCCATCATAAGAAAATTATCTTTTATTTTTCATTTTTTTTTTGTTTTCTAACAAATAAACATTCTAAATTTTTTAAAAAATTTTCCCCTCCTTTAGAATTGCGTAAAGACGCCCATGAAAGCATGTCGATTCTTTTACGAAATCGCTACGTTTCTTTGCATTGTATGACCGGGTTTAAAGGTAAATAACTGTATCTGTTGTTTCTATAATCTAAGATAATTTAACAGGCTCACATCAAATTAGAAACTAGACTACATTTGATTCATAATTTAAATAGGCAGTTCAACAGCATTTCATATAATTAAATATCTACAACAGTACCTAAATATTTTTTTTAAGGAACATTTGAATTATCTTAAATATACAAAACAATGTCTGGAAATTTTTAAATCCTATTAGCGTCTGTTAGCACTTTTAATAACCACAGCAATGTGAAACCCTTTTAAAATATCTTAAAACGTCAATCACGATTTTCAAGGGTAAAATTGTATCATTAAAAAGAGCAAAGTCAATCAATAAATCTATTAACCGGTACCGCTATAAATAATTAACGATCATATCCAAAATTGTATAGTTCCATTTTCAGTAGCGAATAAATAATTAATTGAAACGTCTCGAAATAGAGCTTCTAATTATTGGCTTTATAAAATATGAGCTTGTAATTGAACTACAAAACTTCTACAAATAAAATATTATGTTGATTATTATTCGTTTTACTTTATAACTATACAGGGAGTAACTGAAATACATTTAAATAACTGTATGTTTAGGAAAATGTGGTATAAGAATTAAACATGGTAATCGTGATCATTCTTCTTACATCAATAAATATAAAAGGAATAGATAATACACCATCTTCGTTTGCTTATCTTATAATTGCTATTAATCATAACTTTTCAATTTCTAGAATTTTTTAAAGTCAATAAACCCTTCAAAGATCATATTTTAACGAACAAATTCAAACTATAGAGAAAAATGTATTTTCCTTTAATTTTTAATTTATAATATTTACAACTTGTTAATTCAGTTTCAGTTAATACGTCGAGAAGAGTACTTCGTCCACGCTACTGAAGATGGCTGCCGCAGTTGCAGCTAAAAGGTTTGGTAGTAATAATTAACCCTACAATGCGAAATGTATTAAATTTGAGACAACCCATTTTCTTTATTAAACCGCTTGCAAGCTGGATATAAGTGTATACTGTATTTTGTATCACCGTATTACCGTATTTAAGGAACAATATCCAATGCGCCATTTTAGTTTCAGTGTATACGATTGAAAACATTCAGTATTGTTTACCACCTGTTTGTGTAAACAACGCAGCACATTATAGTGTGAATTTATTCGTGTTTTCTTACAAATATTAGTGTTTTATCAGGTTCTATTTAGTAAAGGTGAGATTTCTTTAATAAAATAGCATGCCGTTGTTTAACTTCTTTTATTTTTTATATAATTGGCTTTATATTTGGATGTACTAAATTTGAGACATAGCGGGTTTGACTGAAAAATTTGTTCTTTTTCTTGGATGTATCAGATTTGCTCAAAATATATTATCTTTTACTCTAGAAATTTTTGAATTTTGGTTTCAGAAAATGCCTTGGTCAAGGGAAAACCTAACCCAAGCCGAATTAGAGCAATATATTGAATAACTGTCAGAGAGTGAAGACGAATTTGACTCTGATTTGGAAGAAAATGAAGAGGAATTTATTTTAGGAAATGTAAATGAATTAGAAATCCAGGATCTTCCTACTGAGTTTGATGATAGATTTTTATTGGAAAGTGAACAACGAGAAATCAATGATGAAGATGCAAACAATAATGAAGCTGATCTTAGCAAAGAAAAATTTGAAGATACAGTTGAGACTAATAATATTGATGCTGAAACTAATTATGCGAAAGAGATAGAGAAAAATAATAAAAAAAAACTTTCCAACGTTAGGTGGAAAAAAGGAAATTTATTTTTGAATGACGATGCTAAAGCTTTCAAAGGCAGTGAAGCACTTGGTAGTAGTATTATGGAACTTGAAACACCTTTTGCCTTTTTCAAATACTTTTTCACCGATCAATTGTTGCAAATTTTTACTTGGTTCAGAAGGATCCCAATAAGAAAACAACAATCACAATTACTGACCTTTAGAAGTATTAAGGCATGTATATATATGTCCATCGTATGCCTAACGTTAGATTATTTTGGAGTCCTCGATTGGGATTTTCTCAAATTAAAGAAGCAATGAGTCAAAAGCGTTTTGAAGCAATCCGAATGGCAATAGAAAAAGAAACGCTCTGCCACAACTTCCTACATTCCACCGAAGGACATTAGAATGGATGGGCAATCTCATTGGCCTATGTATACCGAAGCCAGACAGCGGTGCAAGTTTCCCACATGTAAATACTGCTCCCAAGGATAGTGCAGCAAATGTGGAGTGTATTTTTGTCTAAATAAGAACAACAATTGTTTTGTGGCAATTTCATAAAAATTAATATATTAATATAATTAAATTAGTAAAAACACTCTTTGTCACAAATTTAATATAACCAGTTTTTTTCTAACTAAACAAAAAAAATGTGGTTTAGAATTTTTTTGATATCGTTTAGGGCTTATAAATAACTCGATAAGCATAAAATAATTTTTTTCCATTAAAAAAAAAAAAATTGCGCATTGTAGGGTTAAGAAAGACCACGGCATAAGAGTCAGAAGACAAACAAATACATTGACGCCGCCGTGAAAACCTACATTCTTAAATTATATTACATTATAGTCGACTTAGTCGATTTTACGAGAAGGAAACTTACCTATCAGTCAGGAGACTAGAATCCTTATGCAGGAAGAAAGCTCAAATGTTAGGTTTTTTAACATTTTCACTACGTTGCCGGGACACAGAAACCACACCAAAATTTCTACGTTTGAAAAGGAACATCAAAACACTACATGCCCAAAGAATTTTTGACAGGACGGAAAAAGCATTACTAAGGAAGAAAATCCATTAAACACAAAAGGAGTTATAAAGAAATGATGAACAATTGTTTAAACTACATTTAAAACTAAGTCATTTACTAGAATGGGAAGTTTGGGAAAATACCGAGAGAGTAACACTTAGTAGAATGGAATCAACACTACAGTTATCCAATGAGAGACAAAAAAGAAAGTTTAACAGAATCCAAACAAAATACTCCGAGACTCTGAAGACACATATGAAACAAACTGTAATCAATCTCTCAAATCGGCCACTCATGGATAACGAAACAAGCTTGTTGAGGAAATTTCAGCATAATCTTACAGATAATACTTACAGAAGAAATACTAACACAGAAGCCGGAATTAAAAAACTACCATCTGATGTTAAGGAAGAGGTACGCAGTGAATCTAAAAGAATTCTACAAAAAGCCAAACCACCAAAAAGCAGTATTTCAAGAGGTAAGAAGGCAGCTATAAGAAGTCGCAATGAGAATGAAAACATCATAATTCTACCCACCAACAAAGGAAATACAACAGTTGTCATGAGCACATCGGACTACAGCAGCAAGCTGAATGCTCTGGTCTATCAAGACACATACAGGAAATTGACGATAGATCCAACACAGAAGATTTTTAGAAAAACCACCAAGTTAATAAAAGAATAACCACTACCACCAGAGACAAAGAAAAAAGTCTGCACTACTGAAGCGTTAACACCAAGACTATATGGATTACCAAAAATTCGCAAAGATAATGTACCACTAAGACCAATATGAACTGCCATAGGATCACCAACTTACAACCTGGACAAACATCTGGCAGAAATTCTGTAAACACGTGTGTAAGACAAAAATCTAGGTGCGAAAAGCTAAGCACTTCACCGAACACATAAAGAGGCCTGCACAATTCAGATTTTTAAAGGGCCAGTTCAAAAACCGTAAGTAGTAGTGTACGAGGGCCAAGAGAGTTCTGAGCTTATAATTATAAAGCAGGTCAAGGCGTTCTGTTCAGATTTTCAGATTTTTCTAAAGAAAAAGGTCCTCACCTGATAATAGTTTTGTAAACCAAGTTCTTTTATCGTGTTTTAAAAACAAAAAAAAACAATGAAAACAAAAAAACAAAAAAATAGGTAAATAGCTTATAATGATGAACCAGGTCCTTCTATCGAGCTCCTAAAAAAGCCAATTCATAACTAAATACAATTTTGTTACTAAAAAATGTATAGTATGATGTAGGCGGGCCAAACTGGTCAACGGACAAAGAGCCAAAAAAACGACAACGTCGGACGGCATGCGGCCCGCATGCCATGGGCAATCGACTCAGGCTAGTTGTAGCCAATTTTTGCATGGAAAAATATGCACTGCTAAAAAACAAAGCAGTGGCTGAAGTATGTAGATGATACATTGCAATCTGGAGCCACAAGAAAAAAGACCTCTAGAATTTCCTAAACCATCTGAACAGTTTTCATCCTAAAGTCCAGTTCACCATAGAAATAGAAGAAAACCGACAATACCTACAATACGGATCCAACCATCATCCAAAACAGAAGCGCATAGTTATCAACACCTTAGTCAACAGAGCATTAATGATATGGGAGTCAAGACACATCAACGATGAAATGAAACACCTGACAAAAGTATTACAAGCAAACAGATACAGTAAAAAAAATAAGCCGTGCGACGCGCCCAAGGGAGAATAAGACCAAGTCTGATGAAGAACAAAACCAAGGAACTGTCTATTTACCATACGTAGAAGCTGTCACTGACCCAATTGGCAAAATTCCAAGGAAAAAGAAAATCGGCACTGTCTAAAAGCCATCAAAAAAATAGGGGATTATCTTAAAACAGCAAAAGACCGTAGAGACCTCCTCACACCAGCATGAGTCTACAAAATTCCATACACTTGTGGAAATGTATACATAGGACAAACAAAGAGAAGCATTAGTAAACGACTAACAGAACACAAACGAAGTCGTTTAGGTCAAACCGAATAGTCTGTAGTCGCCGAACACACTTTATTTGACGGAGAACACAATATCTTGTTCTAAAACACCGACCTATTAGCAAAATCAAGACATTACTCAACCAGATTGCACTTGGAGGCCATATAAATACATAAATATAAAAAAAAATTCTATAGAAAGGGAAAAAACAAGATTAACTAGTATTTGGTACACATAATTAAAAAGCGCGAAAATAAAACCGCCTAATAACAGTACCCCCAAAAAAGAGCGCGCAGACACGCATATAAATACCACGCACGGGGCAAAGGAGGATCAGTGAATGATTCAGTTTCAGTTAACACGTCGAGAAGAGTACTTCGTCCACGCCACTGAGGATGACTGCCGCAATTGCAGTTGAAACGTTTGGTAGTAATAACCAAGAAAGACCACGGTATAAAACCCCGAAAAAAAAAGAACAATTACATTGACGCCGGCCGTGAGAGCCTACATTCTTACATTAAAAAATTTTAGTTTAAAAATTGATATATAATTGACTTATTCACTACCGTCGTAAAATGTGTTTTTAGAATTATATAATAACATTTCATAATCGCTTGAGCTGATACTGAACGAGCGTTTGGTTTAGGTTTTGTTTTCTTAACCTCGTATTTTAAACCTAATTTGAGTTCCTTTAATTACAGACAAATAATTAACAATTATTACCGTGTACTCTATATTTTCTTAACACTTTTTCATTTTTTTAATTAAAATTAAGATAAATGTAAATAAATAAACACATAACCTAACAAAATGCTGACGAACATAAGATTTCATGGTCGACTTTATGATGTTATCGTGAAAGCATATTCAATTTGCGCTTTTACGATTATCCATCATGATTCGACAAGCAATGAAGCGGTTGGCAGTTCATAGTTACTGAATAGTGATTACACATCATTACAACACGTTTGACGACAGTAACAACTAATTAAGATTATCTTATTTCCAGGTTAAAGAGAAATATTAAATCAGCAAGTATCGGGCAAAATTATTGCCATATACTTTGATAGCTAACCAGCTCTAAAGGCAATTCTATCACCAGAAATCAAATCACGACTGGTGAAAGACTGTCTAGAAGACTTGTCAGAGCTAAGTAGTCAAAACAAGGCAACGAAAAGGCCGACGAATTAGCACTGTGCAAGGCATCCATTAAACAATGATGCAAAAAGAGTCTCAGGAATGGTGGAACAACTATCCAAGACTGAGGCAGGCCAAACAGTTCATCAATGAATCATCGGCCAAGTTCACGAAAGTCATACTATATCAAAAGCGTCAAATCGTTAGGATAACAGTAGGCCTTCTTACTGGATACTATCGCCTCAAAAGGCACATGAGTGTCATTAATCCAGCAGAAGAAGCAACTTTCTGCAGGTTCTGTAAACAATAAGAGGAAACATCATTCCACGTCCTGTGCCAATGTGAAGGCCTGACTGGAATGAGGTTTCTAACATTGGGCGAATAAAAGCCAAACGCATGCAACTACATGCGGGAGCCACTGTCAAAGCTGCTAAGTCCAATGAAAAAGACCAAGCTAAGACGACATACTCTAAAACAAACGAAGTCTCACAATAGATCTAAAAAGGTCGCGGTGGACAAGAACAAACAACGTCCAACTCCCAATCTAATCTACTTATATTATTCAATACTCTCCTTTAATTTCATTTAGTCAAGACAAGTGATACTTCCAACCATTTTGTGCCTTCTTATCGTACAGTTAACACGCATTGGTAATTGTTTAAATTGTTAGTGATTATTTCGAAAATAAAAAAAAATATTTCTGTGCTAATAAATTTTCATATCAGTATGTACTAGCCTACATGATGGATTAGGTCTAATAGGTTCTACATGCAGTTCGTTTTTCCCAATACTAATACGTTATTGTGATCCTGAATGAGACCTCATATTTTTAACTGTATAGATAACACCATATTCTTTTGTGCTCGGTAATCTAGCCAAGTGACTTTATAAATGGTTGTCACGAATAAATAAAAGTGTTCTCATGTTTGGTTAGTCCAACCATTTCGTTTCAAAATAGCCTACAATATCCAAGATAATGGCAGAGTGTCAAGATAAAGCTCGGAAAATTGTTTTCCGCCAATTTTTCCTGCAACAAAATAGAGAACGAAAAATTGATAAGGATTTGTATTGTTGTAGTTGACGATACAAGAGATAAAATTTAGATTGCTTTACTTGCATGATGGATTTGTTACAAATGTTTTCGCATTTTTATTATTTAAAAGTTTATTTTCAATGACAATATTATAATCAATATTTTTTTTATGTCACGAATGTCAGTCCCAACGATGAAAATGCAATTAGGGCGACGTACGAATTATATTTTTCAAAGACTATTCCAAAGACTAAGACTATTATGAGATTTTTTTTTGGTGTGTCGTCGACTTCAACTGCTAAGGTTATTTCGCCTCGTGTTCTGTGTTTGTGTTCGTTGTTACTGTTTCCCAGCGCCACTTTAGGAACATAACTGTTAATTAAAACCCAACAGTGAATGGTCGAGTGGGGAATCCTACCAAGGCATCAGAATTAATTTTAAATAATTAAATTATATGAAGAAATTCCGGCCAACGGTGGGATTCGAACCTGGGACCCTTGGATCCATAGGCACCCACCCCGGAATATGAGAATTTTAAAACAATTATCGTATTCGCTCCAAGTGTGACAGCAGCGCCAATTCATTTAGGCACTAATGGGCTATTTCTGCATATAATACAATTTTGTATTGAAATTTGTAATTAAAAAGCATATATATGTTAGTTTTATTAAAAATATATGGATTTGTAAAACAAGTAAAACATTAATTTATTATTATTATATATTTTTATTGCTTAAATTTAAAAAAATGAAGTATAATCAATAAAATTCAATATTAAAATATAAACAGGCAACAGTATTCACGGGAAAATGTATGAAAAGTTGCCTATGTCTAATAAATTGTCTTTGAAGAATTGACATATACTGTCAAAATAAAAAAATACCATTAAATAATAGCGTGAAGTTAAAATGTATAGACAGAAGGATTGTTATACTTTCATTTTGGTTCGAAAGAAAACAGAATTAATAATTAAAACTGGTTTCCTATCAGTAAGTCACAAAATTGCATTCCAGCCACATCAAAGGCAGAAATCGTGAAATCTAGTCCTTGCTGAACATTTAAGAATATAGGGATGTTGAAGAACATCGTAAAATGATAATTTATTGTTTATTTTAAACCTTTAAAGTTTCTGATGTCTACTGTTTCCAGTATTACTGTTATTGTTACAAAAATAAACGTAATTTTTCTTCTTATTGTACACCTATTCATTTAATTCTTTGATTTAATTTTTACTTTGCTGCTGAATATTTTTATAATTTTTCCTGTTATGCTAGTATTTTTACAATTTTCAACACAGCAACTCCGGTTGCTTATTGTATTGTTTTTACCTACTTTTTTAAAAAAAAAGTGAAATGTATACGTGTATTTGATATGCCAAAATTACAAAAAATTGCCCTAAAATGCACGAATTATCCGCAGCTAGCGCTAGTATCGCTTTTGCTTCCCCTACCATGACTTCGCACTGAGCGATAATAAGCGTATCACGAAATAATATTTAGAAAGAAAAGAGCACGATGACAAGCCATAATATGGATTTATAATGTGAGAAAATT